GGTATGCTGCATCGTGCATTGCGCATGAAGTGGTGCGCACAGCTTTGACAGGCGCATGGGTACTGAGAGGGCTGTGCGGGCACGCAGGCTGGAACTGCAGGTACAGACTTGCAGGATTCTTCCCCCATCCGCGGGCTGGATTCTGACTTTGGAGATTTTAAAAGAAGAAAAGTGCATTTTGGGAAAAATAAAATTGAGAAAATAATTAAATAATAAAATGGGAAATTGATTGAATAATAAGGGAGAATTATAAATAATAAATTTTGTATAATTTATTCTTTGCAAATAATTAATTATAGTTAACTAATTAAATAAACAATTTGGTAAATTTAGCCTAAATATAAATTAAAAAGAAACCAATAAATTGGGAAATTATAAAAAGACAAAATTAATAATAGAATTGGGACATATAATTTAATAGAAATTAGGAAACCAAAATAGGGAATTTGGTAGCAAAATAAAAAGAAAGATTATAAGTAATAAATTATTCATAATGTATTAATTATAAATAATTAAATATAGAAAAATAATTAACTAAAAGAGAATTTAGCAAAATAGCCTAAAATAGATATTTAGTAAATTAAGAATAAATTGAATTTAAATACTCTAATTTAGAATAATGGAAGTTAAAAGAAAATAAGGCAACAGAAAATAAAAGGAATAAACTAGGAAATTAAAAAAAATAATATTAATACTATTACATAGAAAAATTGGAATAGAATATAAATAGGTTAAAAATATAATAAGATGTAAATTAAATAAATAGATTAAATCACCTAGATAAAATTAGAGTTTAATTTAAAAGGGAATGCTTGTATTTATGTTTCTTTATCTACGTTGTATGCATACTGTTTCCTTACTGAATGGTAAAAGTTCTTATTGCTAAAGGAATTAAAAATAGATTGTATTGGAATGCATGAATGGTAATTGAAAAATGGTAGAAGGGTTAAGTTGTGATCCAGTAAAAGATAGGTAAGGGTGGAAAGAACATGAGAAGCGAAATAGGGGAAGACAAAGTAGAGTTAGGCCGGTTAGGTCTAGAGTAACTAGGGGTTGTATTTAAAAAGACAGCCAAGTCAAGAATCTAATAAAAGGTAATTAACCAAGTAGTCTGGTTAAATCTGGTTTGTCTGATTTTCGAGAGGGACCCAATTGATTGTATAGATATTGATTGGCATCGAGGATCCACTAGGCTATGGGTACTGGCTATTGTTTAGTCCCCTATGGTTAGACGCGTTCAGTGTTTTCAGCATGGAGAACTGAACTGCTGGTATTCATGCTCTAGGGCTCAAGAGTGTAGATTATGGCGACCGGAGTGACTGAGAGATTGATGGCACCTGGAAAGAAAGAGTGATTGCATGCTTTTACGGGTGGTACATCTAAATTGTTATCGCATGACTGATTGGGGCACCCACCCACAAGTAGTGGTATCTGGTACGTCCTCTCTAAAAATAGATGTTATGTGGCTGCACCCGCAAGATTGGCAATGTAAACTTAATTAAATATATAAATGAATGTAAAAAATTTTATAAAGAAGAAGAGTCAGTGAGTCAATCTAGTGTCAGAGCCAGTTGTCAAAGTCAATCCCAGGTATGTATGTAGAGGTTTGCATGTGCTTGATTGGTATGGAATTGCATAGGGTCTCGGGGTTTGGAAGACGGGAACAGGTATAGTATTGGGGATTGCATATATCGATTGTATAGTAAGGAATTGTAGAATAGGGGTTGTGGGATTAGGATTGATAGATTGATTATATGGCATTGATTGATTAACTGTTTTTATTTTATTGATTAAAAAGTTTTCTAAAATAACACATTACATTTCGTAAAGGATTTTTACTTAAAGCATTTGTAAAGGGTTTTCAAACATTCTTGGTGGTCTGCTTGTACTACATTTCTTACTAAGTTGTCTAAAACTCACCCTAATCCAGACTGTCTTTTCAAGTTAAGGAACTCTAATAGAGTCAGCAACCAGTGAAGGTGTGAGAATAGTCTCTTAGCTTTGGATTTAAATTATTCGGTACGAGCTATCGTAAATTTATATATGTAAATTTATGCTGCTCAACTGTCTTATATAATACAAATTGTATTTAAAATTTTCAATTAAAGGATGTTTATTTTCATGTGGTTCCGCCGCATTTGAATAAGTTTTATGGCTGCATGTTTTGGATCGACTGGTTGGCGACTATTCTCAAGAAGCTGGGAATGGGACATCACATTTATAGAAGGAAGTTGAATGACATGTTCTACCGGTGAAAGGCGCAACAGGAGGTATTATGGTGGCTTGGAGGGAAGAGGGTCTGGTGTAAGGAGGTGGTGAAGGGGAGACAACTTTGTCATATTTGTTCTAGAATTGTCAAGGTGGGAAGACATTGGTGTTCACGGACTTGTATTGTAGGGGGACAAGTAGTGAGAAGAATATGTTGTGGAAGGAGCTGAAGGAGTAAAAGAAAAAATGGAATGGTAAATGAGTTGTGGGGGGTGAATTCAACATGGTATTATAGTGTAAAGAAAGATCTAGAAACCACTTTTCTAGAGCTTGTTCCAAAGAATATAAAGATGCATTCGACAAGTTAGACCAGGTGGATCTACCTCTCCAAGGAGGCAAATGGACATGGACAAATCAAAAGAATAGTCCATCATGCTCAAGAATTGATCGTTTTTTTATTTCATCTGTTTGTCTTTTGCAGCTTGCAAGTGTGTGCCAGAAAATATTGCAAAGACCTATATCTCATCAATTCCCGGTAAGCATTGAATCGAATGGAATACAATGGGACCCTATCTCTTTCAAAGTTGACAGCAAATGACTAAAAATGGAGAGCTTCCGTTGCATCGCTCTCTACATCATCCACATCAAAATCCTTCCCCATCTGCTCAATTCTCGCCTCTCCTCCTTTTCATCTTCCGTCTCAAAACCCTCGGGGAAAATATCTTCATTCTGTTTTAATCCTGAAAATTCACCATGGGTCGGGTTAAAGAAACCCGGTTCCCTCTTTTTTCCTGGGCTCGGGCCCTTGTACTAATTTTCCACCATGCCCAGGTCCGCAACCCATTTTTCTTTTTCGTTCCAAGTGTATTCTCTTTTCTTAACAACCAGCCCACTTTTCTGAGCTTGTCACGGCCCAAAGCAAGAGAACTTCCATTTCCTTTCAGCTCAAATCTATTGTTCACCTTTGGGAATTTAAAATTACCTATGTACCCTTCTTCTTTCCGGATCTGACCCACTGGGTCGACCCTTTCCGAATTGCCAGCGGGTTTGTGTTGCCTACCCGTTTCTTCCCTTCCTCATTAGGTTGCAGAGCCGCCACGTATGTCTAGGTGTCACCCACATCAACCGTGAACTGAATCGGCACTTCACAATGAGGACACCTGATAGAGACTTTCCATGGCATCTTCGGAAAACTCGATTCTGAAACGAGGGCAGATGAAAATGTCCTTACACTGTTGGTTCAACTTCTAAGATTATTCACTGGTCTCTTGGCAAGTTCAAAGGCTGCCTCCACCAATTTCCACCAGCCTTTCCCCTGATCTCCGCCAGGAAAAAAGATCTGCTTCAGCTGTCGGTCACTCTGTACCATTATCGTTAGGTGCTCGCTCCTTCTGTTCTTCCCGAAAGCAAGTCACAGTTTATAGTTTCTCTTCACCAGGTGTTTAGCCCAACCCCCCCGGCTTCCTTTTCCACAAGAACTCATCGAGCGCACCCAAGAACCACCTAAACTTATCTTTATCAAGGAAGATCGATCTTCTGTCGATTTTCACTTATTCTCAAACACTCTGCTGTACGACCCTCACAGACGAAATCGAAGGATTTGCTTTCAACAGCAAGAAATCTTCGCCTGAACGTACTCATGAGAAAGCCCCACTTGGTCGACCAGGTTGACCGGTTAGAAGCCGAGGGAAGCAGAAAGTTTAGAGAGCGTTTAGAGAGAGAGAAGGCTCCTGCACACAGCCCTTAAAACCCGTTCTCTCCCGTCCACCCGAATCTGCCACCAGAGAAGAAGGTCCAACTTTTACATTGTGCTGAATCAGTGTTCTGGGCAGGGTAGTGATCAGCTATAATTGTGAGTCTCCTATATCAAGTTCTTGAAGGCCTATCTTTTTTCCATTCTTTCCCCAGCAGTTTTGTCGAACAAACCAGAATTCTGGATACCTAAAGGCTGCCTGCATTTTGAGTTTTCCTTCTAGGCTCTATGTTGAAATGGGCTTCCACACCATTTTAGGTTTCTTGGGTTCCTAGGCTTGGACTGAATTTAACCTTATTTCTGAAATATTATGATCAGGTTAGGCCAGTAGACATGTAAATACTGAAGGCCTTTTTCTGGAGTCCAACCCTATTCTAGTTACATCCTTGTAACTTCTATTTGACCCAAGCTGTTGACCTGTCCCATGGGCCCACCAAACTCTTTTGTTTCCTTCCTTATTGACTGAAGTAAGAAATGGGAATATTTTGAGATCCTAGACTGTCTCCACATAATCCTCCCCACAAAAAATTCTCCTATCATGATGCTACAGCAGATTATGCAGCAAAATCCCAGCCTTTTCAAAAATTGAATTTTAATGTACCTCCAGCCACATTGAATCACCTTTCTGGGAGTGCAATGCCACGGACAGGAGGAATGGACAAGGACAGAATCAAAATATCAGGATCCTTCACTGCAGGGAACTGTCTCTGGCAAGATGTCTCTTGTTTGCAGAAGCTGCTCTGATGTTGCCAGACCATTTGCAGAAATTTCATCATCTCCTTCCACCCTGTTCCTCTTTTTCGTTCTGGAATATAAATTCAGTATCGAATTCATGTGCCTACAAACCTCATCAATATCAGAATCTACTTCCAATATTTTCTGCACCTCCGCCAACATGTATCTGTCCGCCCCCCCACCACATATTGGAGACCCTCTTTCTCTAACGTCCTCAAACAATTACCCAACCACATCACTTCGAGATTTTTTAGATTGCTTCCAAAATAGTAATTCCGCTACAGTTCTTAAATCCACACATGAGACGGCTCTCCACCGCCTCCACTGATTCCATTAACCGTGAATACTTTCTTCTCAACTTGAAATTCTAACCCAACAACCCCCTGGGCCATATTAATCGGCTTATAATCTAACTTTAACTAAAATCTGAAGTACGAAGTTTTCATTTTTCTCCAACCAAAAAACCCGCCCATAAACTAATGCTCAATAATTGAAAACCCTAATGACAATAATTGTATGTGTCATGAAAAAGATCCACTTCTCATTCTATACCTCAATGTTGAGATTAATTCACGAGAGCTGCTAACTGAAACCAAAGTAATAGAGAAGTAATTATAAGCAAAGCGAGCCCTCCTTTTTCTCATAAAATTTTTCTTGAGCATCAAGCTCAGCCCAACGATTATGCTAACAGATTTGATGAACAGTTTATTATTGAAAATGTAATTATGAACAATTCCAAAGCATCAATTGGTTATTTTGCTTACCTCTAAACATACAAAAGCAGATGGCCTACAACGGCAAACAATTGAAGAAAGATAAAGATACTGTTGGCAAATAATGCATGTTGGATCCTACAAAACACATAAGGAAAACTTAGTTTCCCATCTTAAAAGTCATACTAATGAGAAAATATATTAATAACACCATAACAAACGTAAATGGAGTTTGTTACCTCTTCAGTGCCCACATATTCAGGACATTTACGAGGGGACATGGGAGATGATCTTACAATGCCACTTCTCCAAAGCCGCTCTCTCCAAGTTTTTTCCTTAGAATGTATCCTGAGCAATTCTTTCTTCAGATGAGGTGATGCTCTACTGTCACAATCACCCCACTACAAAGTTTATTTAAGAAAAGAAGCAAAAAAAGAAAAAAAGTCAAGCTAAAAGATTTCAAATAATATGCAGAAACACTTTTGCATGCACTTATAAATGTTACTAGGAAAACAACAATCTAATATGGAAAAAATCTCATCAATATATTTTCTGATGAGTATTTCTAAGAAATTAAAAAAACAAAACACATAGAAAGGCTTGGAGCAACAGTAACTCTGACATTATTAAGTAAAAGCATTCTACATATAGAAAGACAACGACAGAGACTACCGCGGGATAGCAAAAAGGTGTTCATCTGTTAGTTCAACAATTTATGTATTGTTTGCTAAACAATCTATTAGTAATGCTTAAAAGCAATTTAAAAATGATTATTTTATTATCAGTGTCAAGAATAATTATGTTGTATTTTCATTGAATAATAAGTCCCTGTATATATAAGTTCTAGAGACAAGAAAATGAAATCTAAAATTACTTACAAATAGTGTATTTTACTTTAATACCCTTTAACCTAGTTTAGTTCTATTCATACATAAAGTACACTCTTTAACAATCACAAAAGAGGATTTAATAAAGAGTGCAAAGTGGCTCTCGACCGAAGAACAAGACGAAATAAATTCCAAGATAAAACTATAAGATAAAAAATATTCTCCTGAGTTACCCAGAATTCCCATAACAAAGCTTTAAGCAGACCTGTCGCTACTTTTCTTATATATAGAAAAAGAAGGTAGTATTCAAGAAGAAAGAAAAACAAACAAAAAAAGACAAGCAATCCTCAGACATATAGAAAAAAGAAAGACAAGATAGAAAGATTTAAACAGAGAGAGAGAGAGAGAGGAGGGCAAATTTTAATTAAAGAGTGCCCCCTCTTCGTTTGCATAATATAAGAAGGCGAAACCCAAAAAAAGAGCTATGCACCTTAGACCAAAAAGGGGGCCATATAAAACATATTTATTGGATAAGAAAAAAAATGCTTTATTAGAGTGAAATAAAAACTCATAAGGGTTAATGTCCTCACAGGAAAACAAAATAGAGAAACGCTCGGGCAAGAAAAAAACTCAACATAGAACAATCAACATATCTCAATGTAGAAATACCCTCATAGAAGCCATTTTCAAACAAATGCCAAAAGACTAATCTATTTTCAAAAAACAAATCACGATAAAATGATCTGTAAAAGCCCTTGCATCCCTCTAAGTTATAACACCCACAACCAGATTAAACACCCTCAATCCACAACAGTGTATTTTCTTCTTCCCAACACCACCAAGAGATTAAGTAATTAAATCCTCAATGTTGGCAAAGAAACCAAACAAAGACCAAAAAAATGAATAAACAAGAGCAAAGTCTCCAAGCCATCCATAATGCAAAGTATATACATATATATATATGGGATGCAGCATCACAAAAAACACATCTCACACACCCCTAGGGACAGACCATGGCTTGCAAGCTCAAAGCAAATCATTAGTATTGAGCCTACTGAGAACCACAATCTAAACTAAAGCCTTAACCTTAGAGAGAACAACAACTTAGCACCAAATCGAATTGGACCAGACTGATGACCAATTAAGGGTGGGGGAGCAAACAGCATTATTCAGTATGTAGAGAAAGTGAGAGAGTGAGAAAGTGAGAGTGATAGAGTGAGAAAGGCACATTTGGAGGGTGAAAAGATGTCAAATGGGCAAAGATTTCTGGTGATTGAAAACAAGTCGTGTGATCTAGTATGTGAGAGAAAGAGATTGGACGGTCTGAGAATCTGTGAGAATGGGTGGGGTTTTAGAAGATCGATTTTCCTAAATAAGGAATTCGACTAGCTGTTGGATGATCCGGAAGATTTTTGATGAAGAAGAAACGAGGAAAATGGGCAAAGCATTTAGTGAGTAGAAACTATGAGCTTTGGATTTCTTTTGGTAGAAACAGTCAAGGTAAGTATCTTGTGTTATCTATTCAATAGGATAGATATGCGAAAAGGATTTTGTAGAAAATATAATAATTAAAAGAATAAATTAGGATTAAAAATGGTTATTTACAACTGTTATATGCTGTAAATGGTCCTCCATTTACAGCTGTTATGTGCTGTAAATGGAGGGAATCACCAACAAATATGTTCTTAAAAACAGAATTTTGTTAGGTTTCTCTCTAAAATTTGTTAGGTTGTTAGGGTAGTAGACTTATATATATGTGTGGAAATCATTCATCAAAGAAATGAAGAATATTTTCTCTCAATTTTCTTCATGGTATCAGAGCAATACCTAATCCAAAAAGAAATTGATATCAAACCCTGCTGAGCCGTAATAAAAAATAGCCTCGGGTGAGCTTCCATCCTCTCCACCAGAAGTTTTCTCTGGTTCTTATCATCACACAGCAACAACCAGAGTTGTGAGTGAACTACCATCATCCTGTATCACAGGACATAAACTCGATGGCAGCAACTTTCTTCAATGGTCGTCGTCTGTCCGTCTCTTCATCCGCAGAAGGGGGCGTTATGGGCACCTCACTGGCGAGCTCATGCCTCCTCCAGCGTCCGATGCAAATGCACAAACCTGAGAGATCGAAAACAGTATGGTCATGTCCTGTCTCATTACCTCAATGACTCCTGAAATCAGAGAGAATTTCCTTCTCTACGAAACTGCTCATGAAATCTGGAAGGCAGCACAGGAACTCTACTCCAGCAAGCAAAATCCTCTGCAATATTCGAAATCGAGTCAACTCTTCATGACCTTCGACAAGGAGAACTCAGTGTCACCCAGTATTACAGTATCCTTAGTCAAAATTGGCAGCAGATGGACGCCTTCAAAGAGCGTCACTGGAACTGCCCCGAGGATGCGAAAAACTTCAAAGTCTTTGTGGAAGAAAAGCGAGTCTTCAATTTCCTGCTAGGGCTAAACAAAAATCTCGACGCAATTCGGGGACGTGTTCTAAGCACCAAACCCTTGCCGAGTCTTCGAAAAGTTTTTTCTGAGGTTCGACACGAGGAGAGTCGTCGGAAGATCATGATGGGAGAGAATGACCAACCTCACCAGACTGAAAATTCTTCAGCTCTCACAACCCAAGCGATTAACAGTCGAACGAAGAAAACAAGGCCCTGGTGCGACCACTGTCGGAAGCTAGGGCACACTCGGGAACATTGCTGGAAGCTTCACGGCAAGCCAAGTGACTGGAAACCACCTTCGAGTGAGTGGAAAATGTCGAAAGCAGAGACCTCCAGCAAGCTTCGAGGAAATCACGTGATGGCTGAGGAAGTAATTTTTGATGAGATGGGAAAAGACTCATTTACCCCTGAACAGTTGGAAGCCCTCCAACAAATCTTATCCAAGAAATCTCACCCGGTCAATGCATCTGTGGCACACAAAGGTAATATTCATGGTTTATTTGCTCTTTCAGAAAAAGGACAGGTGTTGGTGGTAGATTCTGAAGCATCTGATCATATGAGTGGCGATTTCTCAATGTTCCAAAATTACAGAAGATGTGAAGAAAATATTTCAATCAGAATTGCAGATGGTTCTCTCTCAAAAGTGGCAGGAATGGGCTCTGTAAATTTGTCTCCAAATTTGACTATCTATTCAGTTCTCCATGTTCCGAATTTGGATTGTAATTTGTTGTCTGTCAGCAAGCTATGTGAAGATTTGGAATGTGCTGCGAAATTTGTTTCTAATATGTATAATTTCGAGGATTTGGACTCGGAAAGGACGATTGGCAGGGCTAAGATGAGCTCGGGATTATATTTACTTCAAGTCAACACCTCTAAAAGACAAGCTCACAATGCAGTATGTGAAAACTCTGTTCCTATTTCCAAAAATAATGATCATGATATTATGTTGTGGCACTATAAACTAGGACATCCAAACTTCATGTACTTAAAAAAGATGTTTCCACTACTATTTAAAGGAAAAGATCCAGTTTCATTACAGTGTGAAGTTTGCCAATTTTCTAAACATACTCGAAGTTCATTCCATAGTCTACCATATAAACCATCTAAACCATTTGCATTAATTCACAATGATGTTTGGGACCCTTCCAGGATTTCTAACGTTTTCGGAACTAGGTGGTTTGTATCTTTTATTGATGACCATATAAGAATTACTTGGGTATTTCTCATGAAGGAAAAATCTGAAGTAGGATCCCTATTTAAAAAATTTCATACAATGATTCGAATCCAATTTCATGTTACCATCCAAGTATTGAAATCCGATAATGCTTGTGAATATTTTGAAAATACTCTTGAAAAATACTTTACTGAACATGGTATTATTCATCAAACCTCCTGCGTTCATACTCCACAGCAAAACAGCATAGCCGAAAGAAAAAACAGACATATTCTTGAGATTGCTAGATCTCTCATGTTCACCACACATGTACCAAAATATCTTTGGGGAGAGGCTGTCCTTACAGCTACTTATTTGATTAATCGGATGTCCTCCCGTATTCTACAGTTTCAATCATCATATACTATCCTCTCAAAAATCTTTCCTGATTCTCACATCTTAAGCACTTTGCCACTTAAAGTATTTGGGCGTTTAGCATATGTCCACATTCATAAACATCTTCGTAGAAAATTAAACCCAAGAGCAATAAAGTGTATTTTTGTTGGATACTCAGCAAATCAAAAAGGATACAAATGTCTAGTTCCGAAAACCCGCCGATTTTATAATACCATGGACGTCACTCTTTTTAAGAATCAACCATTTTATCCCACCACTGATATTCAATGGGAGACATTCACTCAGGAATATCAGTAGTGGGATGTGTGTGTACCACCTCTCTACCCACAAAATCCATCACCAGACAAACCTTCCTTGGAGATTGAACCCGAAACCTCACAAAAAAAATCAGAACCAAAACCTGTTATAGAAAGCACATTACCTGCAACGAGTGAGTTACGTGTCTATACAAGAAGAAACAAAGGAAAAGTACCCGAATCATCCAAGCACTGCCATGAATTCCCCACTGATCTAGGTAACGTAATCTCTGTACCAACTCTTGATTCCGTTGATT